GTAGGGAAAAAAGTGTATTTGCTATATTTTCCAAAGCAGTTACTTTAACAGGAAATCCAGGCATTACACAGGGAAAGCATGTATGTTTGTGCAGAAGTGCTGAAAGCCTTCCCCACCAGCGCTGGTAGCAGTGGGAATGGGTGTTCCGAGACAGCCTGGTAGGGCTGTGAGGCTCAGGGAGCTCTGTCGGGACAAGGAATCCCTGCTGCCACACGGGAGAGCCGCTGGCTCGGCTGTGCAGGGGCCAGGCTGCGGGCGCCTCCCTGTGCGGGGCAGGCTGGGTCCGGCAGCAGAGCCGGCACTGAGGGGCTCCGCGGGGTGCCAGCTCCGGGATCTCCGCTCCCTAGTAAACGTTGCTACTTGATTCTTCTTTCCTTTAAAGAGAGTATCTTCCTTTCCTTCTCTACTGTAATTTGTTATAGGCTTCTCACAGCTGACTGTACACAGAATCTAACAGTTTACCTGTCACCTCTGAACAAAGACTTCATCTCTGAAGAAAGACTGTTGTCATCTTCTGAAGTCCTTCACTGATACGGAACAGTGAATGCACTTCTCTTTGGAGTCTGTATGCCTGTCTTCCACCTTAATACCGTACCTATCTAGTGTGTGTGTGTTTTGTGCATAAATAAGAAGTTAAACTGTATGATACTCTTAATGGTGTGCTGTATGCATAGGGGAATCTGAGACATTGAAGTGCCTTATAATTATTTCAGGAGCATTAGTTGAAAGAATTCTCTGAGGAACTTGAGGTATCTGAGGTTGAAGTATAGCTTGGACATTGGTAATTAAAAGAAGTCATTAAAAAAATTAAATTGAGTACTTTATCTGACCTCCCTATTCCATGACAGGAAGCAAGCTCTTACTCATTGCAGTTTTTTCCATAACTGCATTCATCCCCTTTTTTTTTTTTTTTTTTTTTTTTTTTTGGACGTTTTTTTTCATAACGTTCTTCCCCCCCTTTTTTTTTTTTTTTTTTTTTTTTTTTTTGAGACAGACAGTATTGCCCAATGTAGGAGACAGAATTGTGGTTTTAACTGGGCATCCGTATGGTCAGTGTTGTGTATTTCATTTGAATGTGTTTTATTTTAAGAAGTATTTCCCCAGAGACTTCACGTGGGTGGCACTTGTGTTGTTGCTAGTGTTTTGAACTTTGTGGCTGTTAATCCTACTCTGATAAAAATTAGAATACAAGTTACTTTAAAATTGTGGTGGTTCCTGGTATTTGGTCTCCTTTAGGTCCTTTTATTGCTAGCGTAGGTAGAGCTGAGCTACCGTGAGGAGTGATGGCCATATTCCCAAGGCGGTAACCGCTGTTTACTGTGCACAGCTGGCTTTGTTAGGATTTACTGTTTGTATCTCGTCAGTTTTTGTATTCAATGAGCAGTTGCAAGTCCTTACATTTAAGGAATTATGTTTCAAGATAGCATTTAAGGGTGTTTTTCCTTAATCTGCATGTTATGTTGTGTGTGGGAAGTACAAGGAAAGCACTGGAGATTTAAGAGGATGAGAGGTTTGAGTCAATCACTTGAGCTTCAACTTAGTAATGCAAATCTGGCTTTAAGTGACCTTATTGATGTTTGCTCAAAGTAGCTTCCTTTTGGTACAAATGACTGAGCTTTGTTGTAGCTATTGTACAGGTAATGTACTGTCCCTTTAGAGATTGCCTTTGTATCCCTGATGCAACCTCTCTTTGCTTTAACAGAGAGTGCCTGCAGAAATGCCTGGAGCTAAGATAGATTGCATCGGTGTGCCTCATTTGATCATCTGTCAGCAGCCGGGGGAGAGGGTAGGGCAGGCAAAAACACATGCCCGTCGCTCTATCCCAGCTCTTGGAAATTTGAGGGTTTGGCTAATGGTGAATGATGTTCAAGCAGAGCGCTTGATACCGGAGAATTAAGGGTGTGACAGCATATCTGAAAGAGTCCTGACCACTTCTGTGACTTATGCCTTGAAGAGAGGTGGCAAGCGGCACGTTTAGGGTGTGAGGGGCTGGCAGGGTTTTGAGGGGTGCTATACTGGTAGAGTAGTGCCAATACTGCTAAAACACCCCTGTCTTGAGGAGATAGTATTGTACAATAAACAGTGCCATCTTCTGGGAGGAGTCGGAATGATGCCCTTGTGGTCGGCATTGAAGAAGTTCAAAACATTTTTTTAAGTGGATTTTGTCATATCTAATAAATGCTTTGACAAAACACCAGTATTTGCAAGACAGTGTTAACGTCTAGTAATGCAAGTCCACATCTTACATCTGCAAATTATTACTACTACAGTCTTTAAGGAAAAGTTTTAAATTATTGGAGTATGTTTAAAAAAATTAACATTTATCAGCTGCTGAGAAGCACTCTAGAGAAGTAAATCTCAAAAATAAAAGTTAGGACTTGATCTGCTTTGTATGCTGAACAGTGTTATTTTTTTAAACATACTTTGTAAAGCCTAGACAACTGCAACATCTTTTCTCATAGGAAGTGTAGTGACCTATAAGAAAATGTTCAAGATCCAAAGAAAGAATGATTACTTTGCCTTTTTTTTTTATAGCTTTTAAGTTGTCATACATTCTTGTTTTGGGGATGTCAGAAGGAAAAAGAAATATTTTCTGACTTAATTATTATCCTATATATAGTTATATGTGGGAAATAGTCACTGTGGTGCAAAATCTTGGATTAGAGTTACTAAAATTATCCTAGCAAGTGGAATGTAAGATTCAGCATTACTGAGACTCATTAACAGTGTCAGATCAATCACCCGAACTCTTATTTGGAGGAAGTGAGCAGTTTTAGTAACATTAATGGGACTATATGGGAGATGCAGCTTGACATTGTGAGGAGGTTTTTATTGTTACCCGCTTTCAAATAAATAAATAAAGGAACCCAAGCAGAAAGCCAATAACAAAGTATAACCATTATGGGGGAAGGGAAAAAGAGGAATCAATATGTTAAAAATCTTTAATGCTAAAATAAATTAGATAAAAGATACCTAGAATGACAAGAATTTGTGAGCTCTGGATAGGCAGATAGATTTGGAATTGTGTTTATTGCATCATGATTGTTTAGGTAATTTGCTGGCAAAGATGCAATGGAATAATAGCTTCTTTAAAAATATTTTTAGTTTGCACGTAAATTGTAAGTCTATTCTGCATATGTCATATTTAGCATGCTATAATGAGTACATTTTGTACTGCAGAAGGTCTCATTTTAATGACTATGGAACCAGAGGTTTCCAGATAGTACTTAACTGTACAATTAATTTGTGGTTAAAATGGCATTTGAATGTGTATTTACTTTTCAATATTAGTGTTAGCTTGGTCTGGCACAAAATATTTAATATATAAATAAAATATCTAAGTTACAGTACATTCTGCATGACAACATAAGCTGTTTCTGCCCTGTAATCTTTGTGTTTATGCAAGTGCTCAGCATTACAGTTAGGCATTTCATTTTTGACACCTGACAGTAGTTTAGTACTGATGGGTCTTACCAGGTTGATAAGAATCAGATGTTGAAGTTTCCATTGCAAGGAGAGGTGGTCCTTGAGCATATCTCACACTAAGTACTATATTTACTAAGATACAATTTAAAAGCTTTTTGTCTTGTAATTTACTAAATTACTTTTATGTAGTTTAGGAGTAAAATACGCGTAACAATATTTTTCTGCAAACTAGCCTGAAAAAAGTAGTCCTCTGTACATTTGGAACAGTGCATGTAGTTAATACTACTGACTCTTGACTACTTTGAGATGATGTTTCACCAATGCAGTGCTGTAATGGACACAAAGTTATTAATAGAACTTTATTTGGTTATTGGTGGTTATTGCTGTTCTTTCTAGCTTTTAATTAGGCTCTGGAAGGCTCTAGTTCTAGCCATTTCTAAGAGTTGCTGTTGAAGACACTGAAATCAGGTGTTAAGATTTTCAGAGTAGATGGCACAGTATGTTATTGTCCACACTCCCATTAACTTGGAAAATGCTGTTCCAAGTATCTGGAGAACATTGTGTGAATAGACAAGATAAGTAAATAGATAAGGACTCCTGTTTAGAGAGGGAAGATTGCAATGCAGCTGAAGTTGCCCTCCTTCCCATCTGAGAACTTCAGCAGTAGCATTCAGTACAAGAAGCAAGGTTGTAACTTAGCAGTAAAGTAGACACTGAGCATCCCTCTTGAGTTTCCTATATTGTAATCTTGTTTTCTGGCTGAGAGGATGTACACTGAACAAATGGTGGCTATTTCTACAAAAACAGATTAGAAAATGTCTGCTATTAAAACAAAAATTGCACTACTTAGAAATATTTTTGTTGGTAACTGAAGAAGTGGGCTTTTTTAATTGAATACTGTGTAATATTTATGCAAGCTGCAGGATACCAATGGAGTAGATAACTTCAGGGAAGTAATTTATATTAAAGCAAAACCAAGAATAATGTATAGTGTGTAAATAGTAGTTCTGTCCGAATAGGAATGCATCTCCATGTGCCAGAACTATGACTTCTGCCTCACAGCAATTGTTGATGTCCTGTTTGGGAAGCTACTCAAAGTTTGTTGTTTATTTTTTGTTCGTGCGCACCCGCTCCCGAAGCAGTTGGTGTCAACTACAGTGGAGCAAGTTAAAATAAACTGAAGTTGCTTAAAACTGGTGATGTCTATTCTTTCTCCAGCCAAGTAATAAAACTTATTAAAAGATCCCTTTAGGAATACATGAAAATATATAATAAATCTTGAGAAATAAATTTCTTAAACAATTTTTATGAAACACAGCTTACACTTAACCCTATTTTCATAATTTATGGTATGAGCCTCTTTCAAAACTCTTGAGATATTTATCAGTGCCACTTGATGATAGATGACAGGCAACTTGCACTTAATTTTAAGGAAAAATTGACAAAGCTTACTGGTTTTGTGACTAATGGGGAGCAGGTATTTTGTTCAGTTAAAATTTGAAGACGTATTATCTTGACGCCCTTCGACCTTGTTTGCTAGTGAATTAAGAAGCTTTACTTTTGTCCCATCTTTCCACACAGGCAGAAGGAGAAGACAGCCTTAAAAAGATGCAGCTGATGGAGCTTGCAATTCTGAATGGCACCTACAGAGATGCCAACATCAAATCACGTAAGCATGCCATAAGCTCAAGGGTCAATGCCATAGGACTGTTTGCAGGTTTTGATTTCCAAAGCTATGTTATAGCAAATGAACAGTAGCAACTGTGTTGGAGAATCGAAAACAGTAAAAAAATAAAAAAATCAACAAAAAAATAGGTAGCTGTTGCAAAAGATCTTCTGGAGATAAGTTACATTCCTTTGGGTGTTTTGTTCTGGTTTGGGGGGTTTTTTTGCCTCTATTTTTAAACAGTATGTCTGGGTTGAAATATTTACAAATATGTAGTTTTGAAAATTTCAGCCCTTAAGCCAGATATTTTTATTATTCAGTCATTTTTCCTTGATACATATAAAGAACAATAGACTCCTTTTGAGATTTAATTTTTTGAGATGTAATATGAAAATGTTATAGATGTTCAAGATACTGTGAATACATTTTTTCTGTATTACATTCCTTTCTTTCATCTTGCTTGCATGTGTCCCCCCAATGTTATTTTTCAAACAATTCATCAACTGATTTCACAGCTGAGTTCACAGGGTTCAGTGATGTAATGAGCCATATTTATGATTTCTTCTCTTAAATTTGTATGAAAACGCTTTTGCAAACGCATGTATGCTCAGGTTTGCACTTGAAAGTTAATTACATACACCTACTAATGAGAGCCTGTACCTATCTTGTGTGATACAAATTGTTTTCTCTAATTGAAAATCCAATTTCTCCTCCTGAAAATGTTGTTGCTGATCCTGTTCCAAAGTAAATTCTTGCTGTAGCTGTGATACAGATGTCAAATGTAAGCACAGTTAAATCAGTCTTTTCACCAAGGGCCTACTGATATTTGCAAATTTGTTTCTCCACGCAGTCACCATTTCAATGTCAAATATGTTTAAAGGTTGGAATGCAGTTAGGTCAATTTGAGAGTGCTTACACCAGTGTAATTGTTCTGATTTGAAAAGAGACATAAGCACGGGCTTTTGCTGCTACAGTGGTAGTGGTAAATCTTTCAGCCTTAATGAGCACTGTAATCCTTAGAGCTAGATCAGTTATAAATATATTTTAGTCTCTAAATTATTTCATATTTATGAGTAAAAAAGTTTTCAGATTAGCTTAAGTTGATGCAAACTGTTGCACAGAAACCTTTATGCTAATTTGTCTTTGCTCTATTCCCATTTGGCTATTGTGCTAGTGTAAGTGGGAAGATGGAATTTCTTTTCTTTTTTTTTGACTGGAGATTTCCACACTAATACTCACTTTTTGATAATGAGACAATTTAACTCTGTTTCGATTTTACTGGAAACTTAAAGATGTAGAAGCCATACTGGTTGGTTTCCATTTAAGAACAGACATGAAAATGTTGAGAGTTTTTTCTAATTATATTCAGTCTGTGGACTTTGGTTTTAAAACTAAAAATAACTTGGAAACTGCAGCAGTCTCAAAACTGAAAAACTTCCACCACATTTCTATTTTCAGACCACCTGTAAGTTAACTAAATCAATGTAGATCAACTAGTGCATAGAATTCTATAAATTATAGCTCCTTAAGAATGACTGTTACCAGCTGATGTGTTGGTGGTTAAGAACTTGATCTTGTGTGCCAACGGGCTTTAAACGACACTTAATGAAATGTGCTAGCACTGTTTAATAAATAAATAAACAACACACCTCTTTTCTTTAACCTAAGCAAGGCCATAGTGAACTTCTAATATAAAGGAAGTATTTTATTGGGGGGAATTTGGTGTGGAAATCACTTTTCAGTCTGTTTTATTCATGCTAGAGTAGGAGAGGAGATGTCGTGTTTCTGAGGTCATGCTTAACTTTACTGATCCTGGAAATTGGAACTGTGTTTATGCTCAAATACAATTTTAAGATGTACAAAACCTCTAGACTCACATGGCAGCTCTGCATGACTGAGTATCTGTGGACTCTGTAGTTGCACTAAATTTTGTACTCTGTATTTGATTATGACAGTATGTTCCTTGTATCTCCCGCATGCATCTCAGTCTCATGCAGTCTTGATAGCATAAATGAAGAAATGTGGTCTAAATGGAGCTTTTGTGCTGCATAACCTGTTTGAGAAATCTACCTCACTGTTTTACAATGGCTTTTTTATTTTGCATGTTCATACTTAATCACACTGGAAAATGGAAAGCTGTTTGCATTTGAATGGTGTGCTTTGGCACTGTGTGATCAGCGCATGTACTAATGATTTCCTTTTATTTTTCTTCTTTCCTACTTTTCCCCTTTTTTCCCATTCTTTCCACGTTTTGTACTGCTATCTCCATACTTTCCTCTGAATTTCTTTGCTTACTGTAGCAGCCCTTGCCTTTTCTCTTGCAGCAACAGCCCAGGCTCCAAGGATTATTACTGGGCCTGCGCCTGTCCTCCCACCAGCTGCCCTGCGTACTCCTACGCCAGCTGGCCCTACCATAATGCCTTTGATCAGACAAATACAAACCGCGGTCATGCCAAACGGAACTCCTCATCCCACTGCTGCAATAGTTCCACCTGGACCCGAAGCTGGTTTAATTTACACACCATATGAGTACCCCTACACACTGGCACCAGCTACATCAATCCTTGAGTATCCTATTGAACCTAGTGGTGTATTAGGTAAGACCTTTGTGCGCGGATGACTGCAGAATATATTGCTTGTGCTTTTGTGGTGTTTGCAAGATAGAGGTCACGGAGCTCAAAGGAAAAAATTTGAAGCCACGGCCGTATCTCAGGTGTGTCAAAACCACCTAGGTAGGAAAACTGCTCAAACAGTCTGGCTCTGACACGTTTGAACATGTTACACGTTATTAAGTGAGTGGTCAGTGTATTAATAGGGTTTCTGAAAAGAAAATCTTTGTGCCGCTAGGTGGTGGATACATAGGCAAGGAAAAAAATGCAGATAGAAGTTGACAGCTTTCGTGCGTCATTTGGACTCCCATAAATGGCATATTTGTTTGTCCTCTCTTCAACATAAATTAATTGCCAGTGTTCTTTGAAAGAGAGAACTTCCTGTTTTGCTATGTCGTCTTAGTACCAAAAGCGGAGAGAATGGAGAAGTCTTCTTTCAGTTTGTTGGGGGGTTTGCTTCTTTGTTTAGTACACAACTCAGAAATCTCTCATCGGTGTCAAAAAGCTGTAAAGCATTTTGTAAGCAGAAAATCGTTTCAGGGAATGAGTATAAAGCAAAACAAGTTCAGACCAAAGTATGATACAATTAGCAACTTTACTGATGGTTTCCTTTATATCCGTTGGATTGCAATGCCCATCATTCCTAATATTTCAGACCATTGACTTGCTGTGTAAAGACGAGAATGATAAAGCAGCCAAGACAATTCAGTTAACTGCTCCATATGGAGCAAGTGGTTCCAATAGTTTCTTCCTTCCCTACCCTCTACAGAATCAAAAAGATCCTTTCTTTTCAGTTTGTTCTGAATTGCATATGACCTTGGTGCTGCATAATGTTGATTTTTTAGGACTTTGATCTTAGTTTCTTCCATGGCAGTTATTGATTTACACAAATTCTAAACATCTCTAATGAACACTTGGCAATAAAGTTCAAAGTCAGTATTTTGTTGAAAGTACTGCAAAAAATCAGTGTTTCATGTACATGACATACTTGTTATCTGTATGTTTGCATGTTCCCACATTAACAGGAAAAATGTATTTCAGGCTTCTGCCTTTCAGGATTAGTGAAATTGATAATAAAAATTTTAGTGGGACAAAAGTATGCAGTAGATCTGTCTTTGAGGAGCTTGTGGTTGTTGTCTATTATCCCATAGCCAAGACTCAGTGAGCATATAATAATGTACTTTATTAATTTCCCACAAACATGTAAATATTCTCCCCAGCTCCTCCATGCCCAGTCTGTGAGCCCACTTGTGATACATCCTGGGGTAAAGTCACAGTTACAGGCACCATCACAGTAGCTGTTGGTTGCTGGTTAGTGGCAAAACCCCTCTCCTGAATTCAGTTAATAGGAAGTGAAGAAATAGATCATTCCTTAGTAATAATTTAACACAATGCAAGAAGCTTTGATTTCTCACAGAAGTTCCTATAAAGAGAGGAGGGAGAAATTACTCCTAAAATGGCACATGAAACCATTGCATACTTTTGGGTTTAGCTGTGAGAGCACAGGTCTGTTTCCCAAAACAGATCTCACCAAACAATCCTACTTTAAAAAGGAAAAGGGAGGGGTAAAAAGACCACCACACTCCCACTTATGTAATATAGACTTGATAACTCCTAAAATAGCTGCTCTATTATCTGAGCAATTGTATAGAGTTAATTAAATTAGTTTTTTGTTGCGTTCAATTTCATAATACACTCATTAATATTATGCTACATTTAGTCTGGTTTTGTGGTGGACCTTTAAGATGTCTTAGTCTGTTAAAAATGGCATCCCTATTAATATTTTTGGGGATATTGGTGTTGGGATCAAATTTTAGTTGGTGACTAACTTTTAATTCCCTTCCTTTTATCTTCAGGTATGGCTTTCCCAACGAAAGGCTAAGAATTCAAGAACGGTCTTAACTGATCCTTCATCAGATCTGAATTTTAACAAATGCTTAGTTTCAGCAGCCTTGAAAAAAGCTTGGCCTAGCAGTCAGTGACTTACTTGCACTTTTTTGCACATAGATTTAAAGTGAAATAGTGCTATTAATTTGGATTAGCTCCTATTATTACAGAGTAGCTGTAATTTATGAGTGTATAGTAGTATACTGACTGCTAAGTGTTCTATATAGTGTTTGCTTTACTAATCACCTAATTCATTGCAGTTCATACTTATTGACTTAAATTTTAAAATCACAATCTGTAGGCTTGAAGAATTGCTTTAAAACTTTTTTGTGGTAGAACTGGAAGTGATCTTAAGGTTAGCAAATAATTGTCAGTATTAAAAGATGGCATTATTTAAAATAGTCCTGCTGCAAGAAAGGCACTTCAGTGAATATGTGACTAGTAAAGCTTAAATGTGCTTGGGTCTAATAGATTTCATGAAATACTGTAATTTTGGGATTGTAAATGAACGGATTAAACAGGTTAAGGCCAGGATGTTTAAAATAAATGCAATATTAATCTGCACAGATAAACTTCTTTTTAAGATTAAGATTTGAAACTACTGTGCCTTAACTTGTTGCTTTTCTTAAAATGAACTTTTGTAGTTAATGATCATTTAAATCCTTTTGATAAACCTGCTGTTAATGTTTTCTTTGAATGTTTTCTAACTTTGTCTTGGTAATTGCAATTTAACTAGGTGCGGTGGCTACTAAAGTTCGAAGGCACGATATGCGTGTCCATCCTTACCAAAGGATTGTGACCGCAGACCGAGGTTAGTTTAGTTCTGCAGTTCTTGTTTGTAAGAAGTGCTTTGGGTATACATGAGATTTGCAACACCACGGCTGGTTGACCCAACACCCTCTTTTGACCCAGTCGTTATTTTTCCTCAAAAATCTGAAGAGTTAATATTTGGAAGGCTTGGGAACGCGTGCGGTTTGAAAAACGTTTTGGAATCGTGGCTTTCCCAGCTCAAGGCAATGTGTAAACTTCGTGATATATTTAATATAAACGCTATAACCGATTCCCTGTGAAAAACTATTTAAAGATTCATCTGCATCAGCAGACACTATGATTTCAGTGCTGCAATAATTAATTTGGTCGTGTTCCACCCTTTTCCCTGCAATTTGTTCTTTTAATTGGTGTGGAAATATCAGATTGGTGTTGCAAAATAAAATGAATGGATGCTTTTTTAATGAGAAAGAAGTAAAGGAATAAATGCCTCCTGTCTGTGTCTGGAGAAATCTGAAGATTTAGATTCCTTTTTTTTTTCCAATAAACTTTTGAGCCACTGTACTGTATATTGTGAGGAGGATGCATGTTCTCAGTTACCTGACTGAATTCAGAAAGGTAAGGTCTGTGAAGATAATACTTCAAAAGTTGTCTGAGTTGGAATTACTAGGGGTGGGGGAAGGGAGGGTATTTGGGGTTTTTTACCAAAACCTATTTCTTGGTATTTGCCTTTTGCTGCTAAAATGTGTAACCTGAAGGAGAAGCAACTTTTGAAGTCCTGTTGGTGAGATGACATCCAATATTTGGGCATCTCCCTTTAACCCTTGACTGGAAAGTAAATCTTCATTTTTCTCCTGTTCCTCAAGTGTAATGCCTTTGGACCCCTGAATGAAGTATTTAAACTTATTGAGAAAAGTGGTATTTTCGGTTTATTGACATTGGCTAGGAAGCAGTGTGTGGGCTGAATTCTTATCCCATCCCTGTTGCTGACTCATGGTGGGTTTCGGCAGGCCATTTAATCTCTCTGTATGTTTTCCCATCTGTAAAATAAGGATAATAATACTTCCCTACCTCACAGGGGTGTTGTGGGGTTCTTGTTTTGTACAGGGCTTTGAGGATGCAAAGCGTTACATGCCAAGTATTATTATTCTGCTCTCACCAAAATCAGTGTTGTGCAGGCTTCCATGATATTGTAGTATTCAAAAGCCAAATTCAGGTGACAGATCTGACATCTCCTAACACTGACTACACTTCACTTCGCACAACCTTCCATAAATTAACTATAAGAAACAATACAGATTTCAGTCAATACAGTAAAAAGGACTCTCCAGGATATTTGCTGTATTTATGTAATACTTCTATCTTTTATATGATCTTATGCTTTACAGAAAGTGTAAAGCTGATAAGAAGACACTACTTACGTTCTCTAGAAGGTTGCTTCTTCTTTGATATCACCTCACACTATTTACAGCCCATTGGCTTGTTCTCATTTTTTGAGGACTCTTCAGTGAGCAACAGGGTGTAATCAGAATAAGGTCACAGCCCATGTTTACCAAAAAAAAAAAGAAAAAAAGGAAGGGGGAAAAAAAAAAGAAGATAAAAGATAAAAAACTGTCTCTGTCAAGAGTAATGGGTGGTAAGGATTCTGTTGTTTTTGAAAGTTTGACCTGATGTTGCAAAAATCAGCCTTTGCTCATGGTCTTTCATGATCTGCAGTGGTAGATTCAGGTCACAGCTGAGACTACCTTTTTGTTTAATTGGCTATTTACCTGAGATGACTAGTAAATACACTTACCAAGTATGGGATGGGGAAATGCCAATTTGTAGTTATAAGTTCATCACTGTAGGGTTTACTTACCATAGATTTTAAATATTTTGTGAAGTGCTTAGATGTTTCATCTGGGTCACTTATAAGTAATTGAAAGTAATTATTGGTATCGCTTCACCTTCTTTTAAAATACAGCCATTTCTCCTAATACAGTGTTCATCTGTAGCAATGTTGGAAGCCCAGTGTCTTAAGTAGATAAATAAATACACTTGGCTTATCTCTTGTGGAATAAGTCACGCATACCTCTCTCTTTTAGCATGAAAACCATACTGATATGTCAGGAGAATATTATTTTTGAGTCTTATCTAAATAATCCCAGTGGGTATTAAGAAACTTACACAAAGTTAATTTTACGACTGTACTTCCTTGTATTTTGAATTTGAAATCCTAGATTTTCACTGCAGAGAATTAGGTTTCACAGAAAGTTTTGAAGGTAAATCTGTTCTTTTAATGTGCGAAAATTAACACTGTAGAGTTAAAATACGATCAGTATTTACCATATGCACCTATTTGGTTGTTCTGTCACCAATATAATTCTAGAGCTATAGCCATGAAAAACAATGTCAGCAAACCGAAATACTTTTTTTTTTTTCAGTGCAGAACTTTTTTTTTTTATATAGTTAAATGTCACTAAATCTATATTCGCATTCATTGGGTCTAAAGTTGGGGTTTTTTTTAATTATAAATCAACTTTCTGATGACTTTGTAGTACTACTGCATTCACTTTTTAAGTAGATTTTTATTCTTTGCATAGTTTTGGGTTTTTTTTTTTTTTTTAGAGATAAGCACTGCATTTAAAGCAAGAATCCCCAAATGTGTAAATGTTTTACTCTTACAACTAAGCGTGTAGAATTGGTGAAGGGTTGAAAAATGTAGCACGTTTTAACTCAGAATAAAACCCCAGTTTATAAATAATGCAAAGTTGAATTTGATGCATATAACAGAGAGACTGACTGATTTAATTGTAATAAACTGTAAATGGTGTTGCACAGTTGACAAACCTGTGTGTACTGTAGAAGGCCAGAGACTTGGCAGAGGATGTATCACAGGTGTACTGGTATTTTTAAAAGGTAGCTTGCTTTGATTATAAACTCCACAAGAAATATTAATGCTGAGAATTTTCTTGAATGTTTTTTTTCCAAACTGTCACATAATTTATATATAAATTTTAATACCATTTAATCAAAATTGTAATCAGTATCAAAATGCTTTAAGAGTCTGTTTCTAGTATACCTGTAAAGTGGTACGATTGTGCCACATAAAATATTTATTTTTATTTTTGCTTATCTTTGAAACAGCCATTTTAATTTAAACAAACCCCACTTAGCATGATTCTGAAAAAAATCAGGGAGCATGTGGTCTCATTTACGTTACAGTAGTAATTTTTCCTAGTGTTATGGACTGTATCCTAAATGATAGGCCATTTTTACTATGTGAAAGTAAATCAGCCCATGAGAAAGATTGCTAAATCAATGCTATCTGTGAATATTACACCTACTGGACTTCATTTTATATAATGGCACAAATCTGACTTTGCACTGAATACCTTTCTCACTTTCATCTCCTCTGCCTTAGTCAAAATGGCAACAGTACAAAAACTTTATCAACCTCAGAATTTATTAGCTATAATTAAGCTGTTGAATGAGTCTTAAAAACAAAAAATTAAAAAAAAAAAAAAAACATACTACTGTTAAGTGGACCAAGTTTGGTGAAGGAGATTGAGAGAGAATGACTAAAGAAGGAACAGCTCAAGAACTTTGGGAATGATAACTTTCCACTTGAGAACTTTTTTATGTTTTACTGTAATTTGTTTGTGGTTTTGGGTTTTATTTTTTTTTTGTTGTTTTGTTTTGGGTTTCTGTTCTGTTGGGTTTTTTTGTTTTGTTTTTTTTTTTTTTCAAAAGAAAATAGTATTTACAGGTGGCTTCTTTTAAAATATAAAAATATAAAGCAGGAATGTATATGAAATGTCAGATTTTATTGTATTTGCAGAGTATTAGCTTTGAAAATGAATAAAGAGAGCTGTTTGTAGTTTTAAAATGCCTTATTAGTATCAATTAGATATTTTTCTCTATTTTTTGATGTACCTAGAGCTTTTTAAGTATAGACTTTAAAATGGCAGGACTTTTACAGTGTTTACATGCAAGTGCATTTTATAAGTGTCCTATATGTGTAAAATAGTATTTTGGATGGGAAAATGCTGGCTAAAGTAGCAGGCTGAGCGTTTTCCTGGTTCCCTTGATGACGCCTACGTTGCTAGACTACAGTTTAGTATTGCTTTGTATCATGAGGCCAAGAAATTCCATGTTGTTTGTAAATAGAATAAATGAAAGGCAATAAAAAATTTATTGAACAAAACCCTTTTGTTTGGCCCATAGTTTGTTGAACCAAATTGTTTCTCTAAGTCCAGAATTCCTTAGATGACTCCATTCTTTTAACAACCAGTTATTAATAATCACATTCATCATTAATAGTTGCTTTAATGCTTGCACCTGGGGAGGTACTAATGCTTAATAGCAGTCAGATACTGATGCTGTGCACTGACTGTTGTTCCAGAAGTCTTCTACCTAGTTCCAAAACTGTTCATCGTTTTTTGTTTTCAAATTTCCTTCATCGACTGCTACTAACCATTAGTCGTTAGTTGTATTTTATCTCTATTTCTCCTGTTAACCAGTTTTGTGGGAGCGGGCTTCTCCTTCACGTGTCCAAATCATGATGGAGGGCTGTCATGATTTTATTGCATTCTGTAGATGGTGTCAATCAGTATGTCAGAATTAAACATGCTTGTTTTTTTTATTAGTTGTGATTAGTTTTCATGTTGTCATTAAGCCGTCACTAGCTGGAACTAATCTCTTCTCTATCTTTTCTTTCTTTTTTTTATTTTGGTTTTTTGTTTTTGTTTTTTTTTTTTTTTTTGTTTCTAACCACCCAGCCGCCACCGGCAACTAACCTATGACCTTCTGACCTCTGAACTCTTCACCCAATGATGACCTGACCATGCCTGCCTGCTGATCAGTTAACTGGTAAACGCCTTTGCTTGCCTGTCTTCAGTGCAGCGAGCTGGGGCACTTGTCCGTTCGTCTTACCATCTAACAAAACAGACAAAGAAATTGTTGTCCTCCAACTCCGCTTTTTGTTGTTCTCCTGTTTGGGTGAAAGTGGTTCTAGAACCTGCACTGAATAGTAGTAAAGCAATAAGGTCCAACTCATCCCTCCGCACTGATCATCCTCTAGTGTCCCACCCCAAGCGAACGGTAAGGAGGCCTCACAAGAGATGGAGACAGATGTCCCTTAACTACCCGATGACAGAGGCAGTTACTGTGAGAGACTTCTAGGAATATTTTTCTTCTCAAAAAAAAAAAAAAAAAAGTCAAAGCTCTCTCTGAATGTACTGTGTGATGATGCATCATGCATGAACCTTTGGTCAGGGATGTCATTGGGGAAGGGATTCCAAAAAAGTATTCAAAATTTGATAACGCTGTTTAGTCACTACCGGTGCCCTCAAAGGGCAGTTGTTGCAGCCTTTTTTCTATTGCCTGCCAAATTGGACATTTTAAAGGAAAGTGTGCCATGAAATGCAGATTATGATGACTTTTCAGAACTATGTTAATACAGAGAAAAAAAAAAAAAACAGCAACACTATTAAGGCAAAATCTGAGTTTAAATTATTTTAACCATACTTTAATCTCCTTGGAAGATTACATGAGAACAAGGTACATGCATTATGTGTCACATTACTGGGCAAACTGTTCAAATATTTTTTTTAAACCTCCCTGTATAGAAAAAAAATTCATTAAGGATGTAAAAGCCATGCTTGCCTATTTGCTGTATACATGTAATGAAATTGTAGATAAAGTGTAGTGCATTGAAACAAAATGAACAAAAAAGTAGATACTTTTACTATACAAGGGTGCTGGTGCAGAAAAAAATATATTTTTGGAAATGTAGCATTTTATACTTTCAAGTGTTATAAAAAAAGAAAAAAAGAACAAAGAAACCCTTTATTTCATTAAATGATTTTTTCTGGTGGTTGTCGAGAAACAAAAGACCAAAAGAGCCTTTTAGTCTTTCTTTCTTATTTTTTAAGTATTGGAATAAGTCTAAAGAAAAGGAAGTGCCTTATTTTCTTCATGGTCATTTAGTCAAATGTCTTGTATAATCAGCTTCTCCCTCAGAAAAGTTACTGCATACCACTCAGTCGCCCAGTATGTGAAAGAAGCTGTGAGGAAAGACAAATGATGAGTTGACCATATTAATTACCTGATTTTTGCCATACTAGTGTGATGTAACTTTGCCAAAATCTCATTACGTAAAATATGTGCTAACTTTTTGTCAAACCAGCCCATTGTTACTTCAACCACTCTACTTTTTAAACCATAGCAAACGCCGTACTTGTGCAATGTAAACCAAAGGGTTCCGTGGTACAGACTGTCTCATGCCAAATGAGGCTGTTAGCTGACAAATGCTTGTAGAGCTGGAAGTGTGTCATTTTTGTTCAGGGATGGAGGGGAGTTTGCTCGATTTTGGTTAGAGAAGATACACATCCAAAACACTGGGCTTCGGCATCACCCAGATGACACGTGTTCTGCGGACAGTGAAGTGGAAAGTGCTTAGCTCGTTTTCAGTTTTAGTCTGAGCATGTCCCCGGTTGTCACAAGTAGCTCCTGCAGTGGGAAAGAGCATGCCACTTACTTCTGTTTTTCAGCCTCTCTTGTTAGATCTGCCTGCTGGCTTTCCTTCGTAAGATAGGCAGGAGAGGGGCATCAGCCAACTGTTTGAAGTCCAGCTATAGTTTAGTTTTACCCCTTATTTCCACAGGAGATTCGTCTAGCTGGGCAGTTGCGAGAGCTGAAGCTGTTGAACGCACAGTATTTAATTCTGAAAACGTTAAGTGTTACTTTGTGTGGGGCTCAGTAAGCTTGGCAAATATCAGGTGATAATTTTATTCCCCTCTTGTCAACTTATTCTCCTCCTGCAGATCTTCACAGCTTCCAAATGAAAGGTCAATAGTAAGCTAAGAGGGCTTACATTTTTAAGCACCTGCATGGTGACCTCATCTAACATCTTGTCTCACCTGGAAATAATTATCAGTTTATTTACTATGCAATAGACATTCATCCTTTTGTATTCAGCTAGCTTTTTGTTTATTGTGCCACCGGCTTTGTCTTCCTGTTACACATACAGTTGTGTTGATTTTACTTACAGTATATGCTGTGCCATTTTGATTTTATTTTGGTTGGTTGGTTGAATAAACTTGCGACACTCGAACATTTTTGAAGAGGGATTTGCTAAAACAATACCAGTATTTGATCCAGTTTCATCTCAACTATGATAAAACCTGGACATTTTAGATGTTTATCAAAGGTCTTTTACTAGGGGGGAGGGGAAGTGTATGAAATAGATGTGTGACATGTGAAAGTAATGTTTGCTCTGAACAAACTTCTGAAAACTTAGTTGACAAAATTTTGGATCAACTTAAAGCATGACTTTTGAAATCTCTGAATGCCTTGGTTCTCAGTATTATCATTCTTTAATGACTTTTTCTTTATTAAAATAAGTAGTTTTAAGACTTTTTTTCTGACAGTATTATGTAATTTTTTTTTTAGAGTGGGTAGATGGGAGTGTCGCTTGTATGTAACCGTACAGATGACATGTATTTGTCTATTCTTTATCTTAGTAGTTTCATGCTATGTATGTACCATAACCAACCTATTGCCTATGAGAAACATGTAAGATAATGTATTTACAGCCATTGTTACAAGTTTATAATGTATTTTTCTATCTTGTTTTATATGTATGTTATATAACATTCAAAAGAATTTTTTTCCTGATTGAGAAAAAAAAGGATACAAAATGCAAAACCCACAATTTTGATAACTGAAAAATTGCCAATTGTTTTGCAGTACTTTATTATATTGGGAGTGTTGTCTTTCTTGGGCTTTTAGTTAGCTACTGGATGAATACATTAGACATACTTGGGTTTTAGTTGGGTTTTTACATAGCTTGCATTTTAATTCTTTGGTTCTTTGCTGTTTCTATTAACCCATAGCATTATTTTAATAAATGTTATAATACCAACCTACTAACTCTGGACTATGTCTGTTTATTAACCATTACATGTTTAATTAAAATAAACAAATAAAGACGGAAGAATGTAAAGTCTTGAGTTACTGGACTAACCCTGAAGAACGTGACCACAGATAACACAACGTGACTTGTTTTTATGTTGTTTGTCGGCTGACATTCTGCACACTACTATTAAGTTGGCTTTGGTCATTCTGGCCTTTTACCTTGGGGAATAGGTGCCAGTAGAAATGGGAACAATGTAGCGTTTTTTGAGGCATTCTTCTCGTAGAGTCTTGCCACTTGCCTTTCAGCATCTGCGTTACTAATTCCACACTTTCTTCTTCTTTCTCTAAAATAATTACTGTCGGCTCACAGCAAAAGAGCAGAGATGCCAGTGTATTGGAAAATCACGGCGGTGTACAGAAACCAGTTTGATTCTTTGTTGAACCATTCAGAGGTTGCAGTCAATCTCATAGCGACTTGTCATTTCTTGGTTTTGGCACCTGGTTCATTGTTGCATCGTGTGGTGTATCTAAGCACCAAATACTTCTAGGTAGAATCACTGTGCACTGAAATACAGAATCTGGAGGGTTTCCTTGCCAGAAGTGCCTTATTTTCTTCGTGACACACTATTTTTAGGTATTTGGGGTTTGGATTTTTTTTATTAGTTCTGCTATAGTCTGTCAGTGCTGCCTAGCTCAGGGGAGTACAATTTCTGCAAGCCAAAGGTCAAACTGCACCATTTCCTAACAACTGAAGAAAGTGCAAAAATACACCTTTCACTAAATTAGCAAGCAACAGACGTCTCAGATTCCATGGCTGCCTTTATGTGATCTTTATCCCTGATGACTGTAGCGACATGAATGCAGGGAATTGAAATTGTGAAAATGCTGTTTTGAATGTACTTCTATGCAAATATTTTTGCAGAAACATTTATCTTTCTTAAAGCTTCTGCTGTCTAAGGCTCCTTTACATATCCCAGGTCATCCTCCTAGATTTGTAATCCTAAGTGGACAGTAATTACAGCTAATGTTGAGGGAGATTTTCAATGTAGATAACTCTTCAGATATCAACAGTTTTGTGAAAGCCTATTTTTTTCCTGTAAATAGCAAAAAATTTAGATGCATCTTTGCATCTGTTCAAACGCCGCCTTTAATTTATGTTTCAAACTACGTATCTTGAAATCCATGCAATATAAAACTATTTTAAAAAGTTCTCACAGCATTGGTAGTAATTAAAATAGAATGCATCTTTGTTTTATAATAAAAAAAAATAATCTAGCTCTGATGTAGGTGTTTCTTAGTTTTCTAATGGCATGTAGCTCTGTTTTACAAAAATGTATAGGTACAGCTGAAATACAAATGAGTTTAGAATAGTTTAACTTTTACAGATTATTTTTTTTTTTAAAATTTAACAGATCATTAATATGTTGCTATCCTAAAACTCAGCCAAGATGATAAAAAAATTATAAATTTACAGCAGGTAACATCAGAACCTTTTGGTTGGATAATGGCACAAGTGTCAATTCAGAGCAAATTTGTATTCCTAAAGAATTTTATCGGAGGCACATATTTAAATTTGGTTAAGTACTCTCTACAGTTGAGGTGAAACTATTGAGATGGGATGAAAGATTAGTGTTTTATATTTAAAAATACTTCTATTTCCAGAACTACTGCTTTTCTGTAATTTTTTTAATTTTTATTTGTATTAGATATGAACTACTGTCATACTTTGTCCACAGTGCATTTTCATCTCGTTATTCGTGATATGCAATAGTGAAAGTTGCTGTAAGTTCTGAAGCAGTGTAAAGCTGACAGACAACAAAAAAAAGAGAACTCTAAAATCAGGATTTTGTGCTAATTATTGCTGTCCACTGAATGCATTTCTCAGTTTGCCTAAGTGCCTGTCTGAAAATTTAACTATTATTTTATACTCTGCCTACTTACAGGAAGTACACAAGCTATTTTTAGCACTGAATTTGAGGATGACTTTGTGCTAACATTTGAAAGATCATGAACTGAAGTCAGTTGGAGACTTGCTGTTCCATCCAAGAAAGTGGGACTTATTTCTAGGATAATTATTGGTGTGTTTTTTTAGTAGATCAGAATATAAACAAAAATGTATTGGAACCAAAGTAAAATCTGAACAATGCCTATATACTTCTTAAAAGTGAACTGTTGTACTGAAGTAAACAAATTTGGTTTCTCCAAGAGTATTTTTTTTTTCTGTTATCAATCCAGAATACATTTCATAAAGAGTCTTCAGGGACATCTTTCAAATGTTTTTAATGAACATATGTTCAGTATATACCAACAATACTAATATTTTATTTGAACATATCTTTTAAAAGTATGTCCAGCATCTGCAGGTAACAGATGGTTTATTCCCAGATTGTTCTCTTTGAGGGGGTCCACTAAAAGGTTTTCTGCATGGAAAATGCAGGGGAACATTGAAGTGTGTGCCATCCATTAAGAAATTATTTCAACTTGGGGGAAACTTGAGTATGTGAAACTTAATTCTTTGTGTCTGGGTAAAAATAGCAGTCATAAATAGCACATTGTACAGAATGGAACCTGAGCAACGCATTCCTAGGGTTGGAAGTACATAGCTGTGTCCTGGAACTTCTGATTTGTTTTTAATATATTTGATATATTTTTCTAAAGCACTGTTCATAGCATCCCGTCCAAATAACACGTGAGACATAACGTTAGCACATGGTAATCAATGTTGAATCAAACTGGTTAATGAAAGCAGAGTGCTCTTCCTTCTTTGTGCCTGGGCACTAATTGCAGGTGGTGTGGTTCTGCGTGGGGGCTGGGGTTAGGGACAGCGGGGTGCAGTGCTAATTTCTTGG